GAATACAGCTCTGCTGATTGCAAAGAAAGCAGAGACCAAAACAAGATTAGAGCTCAGCGAGACAGCGTGCCCCTCGTGAATCCAAATAAACAAGACATTTTGAACTATTTCCAGCATGACTTCAGCACAAAATAACATTTGCACATCAGTGTAATAGCTGATGTTTTAACTGCTTGCTAAGGGAGCAGTCACGCACTGCAGCCCTGAGTTCAGTGGTGGCTGCTCAGCCTTCAAAGGAAGCAAAAAGAGCTGCAAAAGAGCAGTGCTGCACTTGAAAGCCTTTCAGAAAGCACTAAATGTATTTGTGTTCACTTGAACCCAAGGAGAACACGGCCTGCCCTGTCCCCACATGCCTTGGGTGGATGATGGGGCTCTTGAAAGGAGCTGGGATGGCAGCAGCCACCAAATCCCAGCTGAAACCTCGTGGGGTCCAGAGCCAGGGAGCAAAGGGAGCCAAAGCCAAGGGGCACAAGTCCAGAGGATGCAACGCAGGAGGGAAAACCCATTTTCCCTTTGAACCTGTGCAAGGACTGGTGACACACCCTCACAGGAAATCCTATTACTGGGGGCCCTAAGCCATGAATCAATCCTGGAGTCATTCAGAGGCAGCCCCAGGACAAAGGAACAGTCAGATGCTAATTCAGGCCACAAAACTGAAGAGGGAACGTTCCCTCTTTGGATTAAGGATTAATCATCAGCAAGTACAACCTATTTTCATTAACTGCAGCCATTTCCTGCTAACACATCCTTTCCATTTTCCTGGAAACACGGGAGTAACTACATGTCTGAAGGCAAATAAATTAGGAGACAAGAAGGAAATTATCCACAGCACCCAGAACAAGCCACTCTTGAATATTCCCATTGAATAAAGCAGCTAAAAAATCTTCCAAAACCCAACTTGATTGATCCAACAAATTGAACACAAGGTATATAAAATCTCTGCTCCAAAATTCCATTAAACCTTTAGTTTTGCAAGTGCCAAAGATGTCATTGCTTGGAGAGGCTGTGGATGCCCCGTGCCTGGAAGTGTCCAAGGCCAGGTTGGATGGGGCCTGGAGCAACCTGGGATGGTGGAAGCTGTCCCTGTTTGTACCAAAACCACCCAGGCACATCCTGCAGCATCCTCTTAACATCCCCACTTCTCTGGGATAGTTCTGATGAATGCATCTCAAGCTGTGTCAGGGAAAATATAGGCTGGATATTAGGAAGAAGTTTTTCACAGAAATAGTGATAAAATATTGGAATGGCCTGCCTGGGGAGGTGGTGGAGTCACCATCCCTGGATGTGTTCAAAAACAGACTGGATGTGGCACCATGGTTTAGTTAAGGTGTGTAGGGCATGGGTTGGAATGTATGATCTTGAAGATCTCTTCCAATCCAGTGATTCTGTGAAAAGCTGGGAAGAATCATCAAACCATTTAGGTTGGAAAAGACCTCCAAGACCACTGAGTCCAACCTCCTCAGTCAGCAGCAGCTTCAAGCTGAGGCTTGCAGCAAAACAAACCAAAGGTGTCACTTAAAAAAAAAAAAAAAACCAAAAAAAAAACCCAAAAAACAAACCAATGTCACAATCAAAGTGTGGCCTAAAGAGGACACAGAAAAACTCCACATGATTCATAAATTCCCCGCAAGGAGCTTTTACATGCACAGGACAACACCCAGGAAACAGCCAGCACTTCTAACAAAGATTATTTGAACTTCACAGGGTGGTGAGTTTTTGTGGATGATGGATTTTTGAGTTCGTGGGATTTTTTTCTGGTGATGGTGTTTTGTTCATTTTCTGTTTAAACATCTGCTCTAGTCACCTGTTGCCCACTTAAGTGGGAGATCTCACCTCTGAGTGTTCTGCACTGGAATTTGCTGTTAACCATTACAAGCCCTTGCTGCATTTACACAGAGTTCTATTCCTGAGCAAACTAGTTAAGCAGGAATATTTTCAAAAGACTGCACATATGCACATATGCTCTCTTCCCATGGAGCTAAATTTGGTAGGTATGAGCATACCTGGCTGTAACAAGCTGAAACAAAAATCCCTGAGACACAGAAACCGAGTTCCAGGCATAAACCCCTGCTTTCCACTGCTCTAAATAGTCCCTGTTACACTGTGATTACACAGCAAGCAGTGTTTGCTTTGCTCTCTGAGCCCAGGGCTTCTCCTTCATAGCCACTGAAATTCAAGTTTAAAACAGAATTCAGCAAGCAGCTCTGTCAAGCACATTCCATGCCAAGCTGGAGGATGAGTATATTTATATAACAAAAGGCTTCCTGGATTATTTTAAGGCTCAAGTTCTGCAAAGGGAACAATTGATGAAAGGGATGTTTTTCCTTTGTTTAAAAAAATAATACTCATACCAAGAAGGAAAAAAAAAAAAGCCATTGAAGAGACAGCAGTGCCTTGATATTCCACTGTGAGATCCCTGGATCACAGCAGAGTCATGCACATGCTCTCTGACCCTATGAGTACAGAACCTGTGCTGTCACAGAGTGAGATAAATACAGCAAAAACCAGAGGTCACAGACATCAAGGCAGCTTCAAGTGAATATCTGCACATAAATGATGAGCTGTGCCACAGAATTACAGAATTATTTTAGGTTGGAAAATCCCTCCCAGCCCAGGAATCCACCCTGTGCCCAGTGCCCACCTTGTCCCCAGCCCAGAGCACTGAGTGCCACCTCCAGCCCTTCCTGGGACACCTCCAGGGATGGGCACTGCAAAGCTCCCTGGGCAGCCCCTGCCAAGGCCTGAAATTGAATTCCAAAAAGGAATGATAGAACTGGGATTATGAGTGTGTACTTTGGTTAGAAGTATGTAATATCATGTGGTGGGAAACTTAAGAGTTTAAGGTTTTAGGATACAGTAATATATATAAACAAGATGCAGGTTTTGGGGCAGAGGCTGGTCCTTCTTCTTCACCTTCCTTTCCATGGGTTTGGGTGGTTTTGTGTAATTGCATAAAAAAGTCCACTTTGCAGGCCACAAGTCGCTGGTTATTGAGTTAAAATTAAAAATAATTTAGGTGTCATTTCTTAATTGGATAGTTTATCCTTAAAAGGCCTTGTAGAGAGAGAGATGGAGCTCCATTTTTAGTTTGTTAGAGTGAAGTGCTGTGGAACTCACAGTTTGTGAGACTGTAACATAGATAAGAACTAAATCACCCTTTCCATGCAGAAATTCCTGCTGCTGTCCAAGCTGAGCCTCCCCTGGCCCAGCCTGAGGCCCTTTCCCCTTGTCCTGTCCCTGTTCCCTGGCAGCACAGCCCGACCCCCCCTGGCTGTCCCCTCCTGGCAGGGAGTTGTGCAGAGCCACAAGGTCCCCCCTGAGCCTCCTTTTCTCCAGGCTGAGCCCCTTTCCAGCTCCCTCAGCCCCTCCTGGGGCTCCAGCCCCTTCCCCAGCTCCGTTCCCTGCCCTGGCCACGCTCCAGCCCCTCCATGTCCTTCCTGGACTGGGGACCCAGGACTGGGCACAGCCCTGGAGTTCCATCAGCAATGCCAGCCCAGGGGACAGGCCCTGCCCTGGGCAAAGGAACAACCCACCAACACAGAGCCAGCCACACCTGGTTTGAATCCTTTCCCTTCAGCACAGAGCAGAGCAGCCTCCTCTGCACCTCTCGATGTTCAACCCCGATTAAAGCTGCATTAAACTTTAAGTAATAGATGCCTGCATTATTCATGACTGCTCTGTATTGGATGCAGAGCAAACAGAAGCTGAATCAATGCAGTGACAGGAGCTTCGGGTGTCTGCTCGAAGTGTCTCCTGCTCCCAACACTGATGTACTTGAAGAAGGGTGGGGAAAGTAGGAATTTTTCACTACTGCTGTAAACAAGCCTTGGTATTACAGTTCATCCAGAACAGTGACACAGAGGCAGCTTTCAGAGAGCAACAACTGCAAAAATCCTGCTCATCATCATCTGACCTGTGACACGCAAAAATGTAATTTCCCTCTATTTCAGCAGCCTCGGTGTTTAGTCACAGCATTTTTTTCAGGATTTCTGGTGGTATTTGTTACAGATTCTGTAAGAAATACCACCAGAACATCTTACTTATACAGCCTTTGAGATCCAGAGAGAGGCAGTATTGGGACAGCCACAGGAGAGGGGCTAAACCCAAACTTGTCAAAGACAAACGTGCTCAGGGCATTAGCAGGGATGAGGAATAATCACAACTGAAAGGTGCTTCTCTGCTCTGTCTCCCACAACAGCCTCTCACAATCAGCCAGTTAAGGCTCTCTAATATTTCAGAACATTTTCAGGAAAAAGGCAAAAGGTTTCCCAACTAGGAATGGGAGGCATAAGAGACTTGGTTCACTCAAGGTGCTGGACACTGGGGCTGCACACAAACAAATCACAGCTTTTAGAACACTCTTCCTCAGAATCTTTACACCCAAAACTCCACTTTTATTTTCTGATTCTCACTACACCTCCCCTCTACCTCTTCAATCAGTCATGGAGCTTTCCAGCACAGATCAAACCCCACAAAACCATGACAAATCCTATGAGATGCCTTTCAGCAAATCCTCACACAGCTTCAAAGGATTACTGAAAGACAAAAACACAACTACAAGCAGCAATAAAGGGCACAGACCCGGTTTATTCTCTCTGCAGGTCATTTATCTATGCCAAAGCTAGAGCTGGGAACAGAACACAGGTATTCCAGCCCCATTCTGGCTGTCTACACAATATATCACCAGTTTCCACAGCCAAAAGGGCAAAGATTTCCTTACAAGCAGAGTTTTGGGAGCATTTATCCACAATCTACATCTTCAAGTTCTGCTCTCAGTCATCCTTCCCTGGAAGCAGGCAGAAGGAACTGATCTAAGGGATCTTTCAGTTGTCTTTCCCTAAGATTTTACAATTTAATAATACTGGAGTCAGACAGTTTGTGAAATATCCAAAAACAAGAACTTGCCCCAATTCAGATCACAGTAAACAAGGTACAGAATGAACACTTCACTCCAAAACACACATGTTTGAAAATGCAAAATGCAAGATGCACTGACCTACCTGAAACTGCTTTTCTAGCCAGAGCACTCGATGCATCAGGTTAGGAACTCATTTGGAAGAGGAGAGTGGAAGCTCAGACCTGCTGCTGGCAGCTTCTCACGTAGTCATGAGAGTCACTGTTAACAAAACAGCAAACAAATAAAAGATAAGGACATTTAAGAGGTGGAGCTAACAGGAAGCCTTCATTAAAGCATCAGGAGTTGTTTCAGTGTGAAGACGACCTCAAGGTCTAACAAGAGCTTGGATATACAGGGAAGGCCATCCTAACATAAAGTCATGGAATGGTTTGGGTTGGAAGGGACCTCAAAGCCCATCTCATTCCACCCCTGCCATGGCAGGGACACCTTCCACTATCCCAGGGTGCTCCAAACTCCATCCAGCCTGGCCTTGAACACTTCCAGGGATCCAGGAGCAGCTGCACTTTAAAAATAGTATTTCCCACAGGACACAGAAAGAGAGAATATCCTTGTGTGCACACAGGCCTAGATGAGTTTTGGAGGATATCACTGAAGGGGTATTGGGGACAGCCAAAGGTGATACAGAGACTCCATCCTCAGAAGGCATGAAAAGACACTTAATTATTAGAAATCTACAGTTCTTGTAGAAATAATGGTGGACCTAAGACCTGACTGGCCTTTAGGAATCTTCTCTCACACTATTGGTGAACTCCACACTCTGGAGAACCATATCTATAAACAATGGTTACAGAAGGAGAGATAACAATGGTTTGAATTCTTTCCTCTAAGTTTCCCACAGCTTCTACACAGCTTGCCAGGATTTTCCTAGGACAACCATATGAAATTACTACAGGAGGAGACCACCACCCCCAGAACAACGTGGGTTTCCCACTGCCACAAACAGGCTGCGGACCACCCTGCTACACCCTTTTTAAGAGCACCTTTTCTTAACTACAAGAGCAATCCAGGAAACTCATGGGATACACACTGCCATGTGGAACCCCAAGTAAAGAAATTAACCTCAATGTTTCCTCTGAAGGGAGCTGCTGAAGCGACACTGGCTCTGAACTCTGCATCACACAAGGTATGATGAGGGGGAGCAAAGGAGGAAGGCTGGAAGCCTTTTCTGATAGTCTCCAAGATAAGCAGGATCATTTAGGAGAGAGAGGAAGAAGCAAAGAGAAGCAAACCCAAAATGCTCGTGGCCAAAATCCTCAGGTGGAGCATGCAGGGACCAGGTTTCTCCCCATCCCTGTGCCCACCTCTGCCAGCAGCAGCACACAAACTGCCCTGGGAAGCAAACCCACTCTTCACCCCATCCCTCCAGCCTCCAAGGGAGGCAAAATCAGGGTGGGGATTTGGAATAGAACATCCCTGTGCTGCACAGGGCACTTCCAACTCAGCTTTCAGATAAAGGAAAGGCAGAGGTTTCCCTGCTCCATTCACATTAGTTAGTGCAATTCATACATTTCCACTCAAATACAAGTTGGGGAGGAAGGGGGGATAAATAAATCCAATTCTGCTTGTTGCAGCAGCACCAAACCCAAGGAATTGTCTGCCAGGAAACAAGCAGATGGAAGCCTGGTAACTAATTTCTTGAGACTCCTTTTTAGCTACATTTAGGATTGCTTGGAAATTTGCTTTTGAGTTTTCACACTGCCTCACCTTCAATGAGTGCTGTGGGGAGGGGGACACCAGGCACCTCCACCTGCAGGCCAGAAGATTCTCCTGTGCCACAGGCTGGAAGAGGCTCTTTCCAGATGGATAGAGCCATGGAAAAGCCAGGGAAAGCCTTGTCAGCCTCCTGTAGGATCACTAGAGGTGTCACCCATCCCAGAAGATTCTTCCGTGCCACAGGCTGGAAATCAAACAGCTTTTGTCCATCTGGACAGAGCCACGGAAAAACCAGGGAAAGCCTTGCCAGCCTCCTGCCCTGCCTGCTGCAGGATCATGAGAGGTGTCACCCAGCCAGGAAGGCCCTGTTTCCATGAGTAACTGGCCATTATCTCATGAGAGCAGCCCTCCCAAACTTAGCACACTCGCTTATCTGCGGAGTTTGCTGAGCCCCCAAAAGCCAGCCCAGGAGGAAGCCAGCCAGGGACAGCTCCACACCCTGCGTGCCCCTCTTCCAGCCATGATAGCTCTCATGGATCCCAGAGCCCAGCGTGGTGCTCAGACACAAACACGCGTTTTTCATGAGCAAGCTGTGAATCAGCAGCATTTGCTGTGAGAATCCCGAGCTGCTCCCTCGCAGCTGCAGCCTCTCCCTCTGCTCTCCATGGAGCCTGCAAGGACACGTTCCTGCCACATCCGGGATTATTTCTGGGCTGGTGAAAGGACAGGAGGAGCAATCCACAGCGAGAGTTTGGGAACTAGCAGCTCTGCTGGCAGCAGGACTGCGTGGCAAGGTTTGATTAGAGCTCTGTGCTGTCTGTCCTGTGGCACACACAGCACTGCCCAGCTCTAACATTGCTAATACACTTTTCAGAAAACACAAGGTCTGTCTTCCCCAAATCAACAAGCCTGTATGCCAAACTCCTCCCTCCCCTGAGGGACACCCTTCTGCTGGCAGAGCACTGGCTGCTGCTCTGCTGAGGGATGAGCTGCTGGTTCAGGGCCCTGTTTCCCTAAACTCAGTATCCCTGTGGAAATGGTGCAGCTCCTGGAGTTGCTAAGTGATGCTGAGCTGGGAAATATCTGCACATAAACGACAAGCCGTGCCACAGAATCACAGAATTATTTAGGCTGGAAAAGCATCCTGCCCGATGCTATTTACAGAAAAGGTGATCAAGTTCTGGAATGGCCTGCCCAGAGAGATGGTGGAGTCACCATCCCTGGATGTGGCACTCAGTGCCAGGGTTTAGCTGAGGTGTTGGGGCTGGGATGGACTTGATGGTCTTTAAGGTCTCTTCCAACCCAGAGATTCTGTGAATTTCAGCATCTAACCTGACCATGCTCAGCTCTGGCTGTGCCACCCCTTGCTCTGACAGCCACAATGTTTCCTTCATGCAGGATTGTCACATTCGTATTTTCTGAAAAATTCCTTTGCCCAGGATTTCTCTCCTGGGAAGCTGAGAAGCCTCAGAGAAAAGGAAAACAATTCTTATCTCATTTGCTTCTCCTGTGTTTTGCTCCTGTGAAATGTGTTTGGAGATTGTTTACCCACAGGTGATTGTTTCATTGGGTTCTGCTGTGAGTTGTTTTGACTCAATGGCCAATCAATGCCAAGCTGTGTTGGGACTCTGGCCAGAGTCACGAGTTTCATTATTATCTTTTTGGCCTTCTGTCTGTATCCTTTCTGATTCTTTAGTATAGTTTAGTTTAGTATTCTTTAATATAATATAGTATCATGAAATAATAAATTAGCCTTCTAAGAACATGGAGTCAGATCCATCATTCCTCCCTGCCATGGGGGTCCCTGCAAATACAATACAGGAGCACCAGCTGAGAAGAAATTTGGGAGGTTTTGATGCTGTGAAGATCAATGAGTGAAGTTAGCACCAGCCTTGTTCTCCGTGTCACAGCACAGCTCAGAACCACCAGGCAACAGGACCCAAACCTCTGCAGAGCTCTGCTGGCTCATTCCCAGAAGATTCCCCATTTTCCAGCACAGTGTCCCAGCACAGCCTGCTGCAGGCTCACAGTGGTAGCTCCATCTCTGACTGATGCATCTGGAGATGTCACAGCCAGTGGAGAGCTGCAGGATTCCCAGAGAGAGCACGTGATTCCTCTTACTAATATTCAGATGTTTCCCAGGTGAATGCTACCATCCTTATTATCCATGTGGAATTACAAGCAAACCAGGATTTAGGAGAGTTAAGTGGCCACATCTGAGTGCTGAGGGCCACGTTTGCAGACTTTGTAGAACTCCTTGTGCTGTTCATCAGCAAAGCTTTGGAGTTGAGGATTCTCCTGTGTCTTTTCCTTCCCACTTCTCACATCCACACAAGCAGCACCGTGGCAAAAAGAGCAATAGCAGGCTCTTGTCTTATTTTCTTATTCCATTTAACCAGTAGGGATCAGGAATGTCTGTGAGGGCTGGATTACCAGCTGAAGAATGCTGCTTGGAGAAGGCACCCCCATGACTAGAGCAGCATCTTCATTTCACACCCTGGCACAGGATATTTCCATATTTCACTGCCTTTTTTTTTTTTTTTTTTGCACCATTTCAGCAGTACTGAAGTACTCTTTAAAATACTCCGGAGAAATTCAGCCTAAATAGATCACTGACACAAGTTCACCAACCCAGTTGTGGATTGAGGAAATCAAATTAATTGATTTAGAGACAACGTAAGGGATTTTGAGAGGATGTTTAGCTGATGTCTAAGATGTCATTTTAATCCTCCTCACAGTTAATTCTTTGAGTGTAGGGAGCCAGTAAAATTTGTGGTGCAGCCCTTACACAGAAAAACATCTCCACAGGCGTGCTAATCAGGGAACTATTTTGCAAATTGTTCCTAATCTACAGTTGCTTGTCTCTGCTCTCTTCCTGCAGAGACAATAAAATCATCCAGCTAATAGCAATGTGAAAGGGAAGGAATGATCCTCATTTGGTTTAAGTAGACAGATCTGCACTAGGGAACCACTAAATAGTGCAGTGATGAACTCAGGGAGGCAGCCCAGAAACATCCCTTCCATCTTTTGGGCATGGAAAGCTGCCAGGAGACCTGCCAGCACCATGCAAACTCATTCCCAGTGTCCCAAAAAGTGAAAAAAAAATTGGTCCTGCAATCGACAACAACATAATTATGTGAATTAGTAGGATTTGTTGATGGAATTTCTTTTTTCTTAGTTCTTGCAGTATCATGGTGACCTGAATACACCTGACCTCTGCAGCAGGAGACTCTTTCTCTGTTTCCAAAATAATCAGTCCTGTTCCCAGATTCCCTTCCCCACCTTATTGTTGTTCATCCTTCCAAAAAACACCTTCCAAGGCACATTCCTCTCCACAAACCTGGCCCCAGTGCTGCTATGACCCTTCTCACTCCTTAGGGAGCCAAGTGTCCCAAGGAAATCTCAGCTCTGCATGAATGCCTGGACACTGAGAAGTGACTTGGTACACACACTGATATATATTTTCAACTGTCCTTAAAGGGTGAGATGCTCAGATTCACCCAAAAAATACTTTGAAAAGGAAAGATTGGTTAATTCTAAGAAAGCAAGTTACGGCTAGGTCAGAAACATTAATAACATGAAACACAGTGTAACTACTCACTGTTGAAGCCTTGTCAGGGTGTTCACAGCCAGACTCATCAAGATAAAAAATCCAGGGTCTGATCATTTAGACCTGCTAGGGATAAGGAATTCAGGGAATGACCAGAATTATGGACTGCATGACATCAGAGAAGTTTCCTGTTGTCCACCACCGACAGAAACCACTTCATATTGCTTATTATACAGCTTTGTTTTCCCAATCAAACTGGTGTTTGGCATCTCATTAACCATTTTCCAGTGACTGGTACCTCTTCTGGTTTTGCAGGAGGATGGGATGAAAGCTGAGGACTCCATGACAGGCCTGGTTTATATGCTCCTGCTAAAGTGATGGAGACAGAAATGGCTTACCTTCGCCTGTAGATAATGTCAGAATTCCCACTGTACTTAAATCCATGACTTCACAGCCAAAAGCCTCCCTGTCAAGCTATCCACTGATTCAAAAATGAGCCACAGCAGTTTCAACTTAGCTCTTCCCATTTTGCAAGTGCCTTGAAACAACAGCACCTCAGACATATCCCACCTTCTAACAGGTAATAGCTGAGACTCAGCCATTGCAAAGACAGGAATCACAATAATTCCTTCAGAAAGAGAGGTCCTCAAGGATCAGATTTCCAAGATTTCCAATTTTTTGACACCAGAACAATTCCTAGGAGGATGAGACTAAGTGGAACATGACTCCAGCAGAGCAGTGGGGTGATGGCCTGGGAAGGAGGAGAGAGACCAGGCTGGCTGCTGGTGCTTCCCTGCAGGTCCCAAAGGGAGCACGGGCAGAGCAGAGAGCCAGAGTCATTTACAGCCTGCAGAGACCACAGGGAAGGAGCAGGGCAGCAGCCCAGATCTGCTGGCTGTTCTTCCAGCCCCAGCAGGGTTAAGAGCATTAGTGCACACTCAGGGGGACAGGAGCCTGAGCTGGTGACTGCCTGAATGTCTCCTTTGTGAGCCACCCCAGGCACAGAGCTCACTCCAAGGACATGTGGAACACGGCCAATTCCACAATTCCACAAGGATGCTGTGGCTCTCCTGGGCAGGGAGGCCAGGGGATACTTCTCAAGACAGCTAAAAACAACCTGCTCCATGAAGAACCCCGAGAGCTCCACTGAAGTGGGAAAAAACACATTCTGCTCAAGTGGCAAACACCTCACAATGAGCCCAAGCAGCTTTCCCCAAGTTACAGAAGCAATTAAAAGATCTTCTGAGGATAAAAAACGTACTTCTGGCACTTAAATTTATAAAGGAGGCTTCTTTGAGCTCTTAAAATATCATTCCATATGTGGGTCTCATGTAAAGTGAGGATCTGCACGATAATTGTATTGATATCAGCCCAGCAAACTTCCAGGCATGCAGCACATGGGCAGCTGTCCCTTGTTAACCTTTGCAATTCACCTTCCTGCCCAGGAAAGGCTGAAAAATGGGAAAAGGGAAAGTATGGCCCCCATGGCACCTCTGGGAAGGAGCCAGCACACCCAAGACCAGGGATGACTTTTTGCAGATTCCCTTTGGTGCTGCAAACTCAATGAAAAGTCAGGGTTTTGCCTCCACTGTTACAGCCCTCAAAGTCAGTCACCCCAAGCTTTAGGGGTTTTTATTTCCTTTACAGCCTCATGCAACAGAAATACCACAAACAAGCAAAAGCACAGAGAAGAAGCAAAAAAAGCCACAACCCTAACCCTCGAAGTTGCTGAGCCATAGCAGTTAAACCAACATTGAAGAGCAGCTAAACTGCCCCAACCAGACAAGGCTCTGCCTGAGGCTTTGGCTACTTTCAGCTCCAGGAGCTTCCTGAGCATGGATTTAGGAACCTTTTGGGAAATTTCTCATCCTAAGAGCTGCTCAGCTTCCCTCCACTCCCTGCAACTTGATCCCAATGAAACTCTTTGTATCCACAACACTTTCTGGCAAGGAGTCTGACGTGTCCCTAAGAGAGGAATCTATGTGCCACTGCCCACTCCTTGGGATTCCAGTCCCTGCCTCATCCCACCTTTCCCACTCACAGGAGTGCAAAGAAATCCTTTTTTTCTGGCTCCCAGGCCATGCAGCTACGTTTAAATTACTGCCTAACAAGCCTGGAGTGTTTGCTCTCTCACAGACACCAGGTTGGGAAAAACTCTTCCCCTCTGCAAGTAGGAGAGACTTTGGAAGTTCTTTACTGTAAAACAGCAAATACCAGAAATGTGCTGCTCCTCTTTATCCCAGACTTTATCCCAGTAGGTTCCTAAGATGCCACACTATGATTTTCCAGCACTGCTCCTTATTTACCCAGCAATATCCAGTGGAAATTTGGGGGAGAAAAGCTGACTGCAGACTGTTCCGTAAAGAAAAAATAATCTGGTTATGGACACCAGTAATTTTTCATACAAGAAATGGTTTGGAATGTGATATGCCAATCAAAATTAACATTTAAATGTGACATGTTTCCCCACTCCATCCCACTCCTGGCCATCAACTCTGTTAGAGGTCCTTGTTCCCACTGCACTTTTCCCCATGGCTGCATTCCACTCCGGGGGTAAAGGTTGCCTGTAAGCACTTTAAACAGTATGTGAAAAGCTTTGTTTATCCAAAAATATTTTAGCCCTGAGAAGCATTAAAGCAAGACGTAGACTTCAGCATTTGCATAGCAAAGAACTGCAACTCCTACAGATATTGCCAGAAACTTTATTCCTTAAGGCTTTCCAGCTATGAAGGACTATTTTGCTAAAGCAAAACTACAAACAAAAAGTGTCATCCCTTAGTAATGGGCTGCAAAGGGTTGTCACAGCAAGGCTGAGGATGAAGCAAGGCTGTCATTTCTGTCTTGCTCACTTTTTCAGAGCAGATAATTGATCAAACAGTAGGAAAAACCTGAAGGTGCAGCAGGGAAACCCAAAACTTATGGGGTCTTCCCCATTAAGCAGCTGTAGAAAACCACTACCAAAATAAAGGGAATTTCCCTGCAGCCTGGCCCACAATTTCCCTTACAGGAGTGAAATCCAGCCAGCCTGCAGATCACCTGCTGTCCTCCAGCCCTAAAACACTCATACCCACCTTAAAACACAGCTTTGCCCCAAGCACTCAGCAAGGCTGTGGTTTAAAACAAGAGGAATCAAGCACAGTGGTCACCAGAGGCAAAAGCAGCACAGTCAAACAACAATCACAATTCAGCTGATCCCAGTTATCCCAGGGGAACAGGACTGCAGGACAGGAATATTTAGAATGTTATTGCCTAAAAGCAGCTCGTTTTCCAGCTCAAAGCTCTTCTCATTTAAAGGCTGCTGTAGACATGATCCCTGCTCCAGCAGAGGAAATAAAATGTGCTGGACCCTGCTGCCAAGGCCAGGCTACGGAGCCTGGGGAATTCCTTGGGAGAGGGCAGGGGACAGTTATCTCCCACTCCACTGGTTCTGGAGTAGTTATCAATTAGTGCATTTTCCTGGGCTGAATCCTTATCTATCTCTGCAGGCTCACCATCCCAGAGCTCCAGGTCCATGTTTTTCTTGGGATATGGTTTGGTTGTTGTCCCCCTGCCAGGGAATTCCCAACCAGCAGCTGGTTCTGCACCAGTTGCTTACATCCATGAACTGCCTAATTAATCAATGGACTTACCTCTTGCTGCTGCAAAAGTAGAATTAACCAAGTATAAACAGAAAAAAAAATACCCACACACACCTTCACTTACTCCTACTGTCTTCCAAGCTGGAATTTGCCTGGTGTGATTCTTACCCAGACTTTATTTCTTTTTTTTTTCCTTACTCCTGGGAGAAAAGTAGTTACACCAGGCATGCAAAGTGCCAAAATTAGCTGGCTTGCCTAAATGCAACACACCAACCCAGCTGCAGCACTTCCTGAGGTACAGACTACACTATCAGCAAGTGACACAAGATCCTCAATGCTTAGTTTAAGAGAAAAAAGGAGGGGAAAGAACTGTTTTACACCTCTGAGAGCACTGGAGGGGCAGAAAGGCAGGTTTTCAAACACCAAAAGGCTCACTCAGCACCACCATCACCTTTATAAAGGAGATCCCTCTCCCTCTTTGTCCAAAGACACTTTCCAAACCTGTGGGGAGAGGATTCCTAATTCTGAACCACACACAAGTCATCATGCAAGAGGCACCAGAGCTGGGGCCAGCTGCCAGCTCAAACAGAGATTTCAGTCCTTGCTGCCAAAGCACGAAGAGCAACAGGCAAAGCTGGCCTGTGCCCATGAATTCAATGTCAACACTAAAGCAGACAAAGAGGTTGGAATACCAAAGTGACCTTCAGGCCTCACTGTCCACTCCATTTCTTCTCCAGACACCTGTGAAATGACACAACTGTCCCAGTCAGCCCAGGGAAGCCATCAGTGTGGCACAGGCAGAGCAAACCCCACCACAGTGCCCTTTCTGTGGTTTCAGCTGGTGCCAGAGCAGTTTGTGGCCACCTCACCCCAGACCTTCCAAGCCACTGCAGAGCACAGCAGCACAGCAAATAAATCTGTTCCCTTCCCTTTCAGAGATCTGCAAGGGTTATCCTCACCTCAGGGAAACCCTAACAACATCTGTGCCTTCTCCAAATCCTGTTTTTTTCAATTTGGGCTCTGGATTAACAGCTGGCCAGAGAGCAGAGCTCAGTCCCAGTTGGGTGGTGACAGCCTGCACTGCCCAGCCCCAGCTGGAGCTCCCTGAACAGCAGAAAGTCCTTCAGCACAGGGCACACACAGAGCAATAAAACCTGAAATCAGTGATGCTGTCTCATTTCCCATCCTTTGCACAACACAATTTATTTTTAGGTCATAACTCCTGATGCAGGACGGAAAGAAAGGATGGGCACAGGCACAACAGCTGCAAGCAAACTTGGAAACACCAAGAATAAGACATTTCCACTTTGTGTTTTGTTAAAACAGCTACACCTTCACCTCACACTGAGTATTTCTGGAGCCAAGATTTGTACTGGCACATGGATGTCACCTTCTCACGTGGCTTCCCAGCAGGCTCAAGCTGCTTACAGAACCTGTCACCATCCTGAAACCTGTGCCAGGGGAGGGTCAGGTTGGACATCAGGAGGAATTTCTTCCTGGAAAGGGCGGGCAGGGAGGTCACTCAGTGCTCTGGGCTGGGGACAAGGTGGGGATGGGGCACAGCTGGGACTCCATGGGCTGGGAGGTGTTTTCCAACCTAAATGCACCTGGGAACCTTGTGAACTACAGCAAAAGCTGCTCTTTTGTCTCTTGCTTCACAGGGAAAGAACAGGATTGAACAAGCTGGGTCAGGTGTGGGGGAGGAATATTGAGCAGGTGACTCCTGAGTGGTGGCTGAGCAAGGAAATGTCTGCTATGAGAAGCCAGAAGTCAGTGAAACTCCTTTGCAAGTCACCTGAACCAAAGGCAGTAACCAAACCCAGTACACCACATCAGAGCAAGAGTTCCACAGGGAAACCTGGGCAGCAAGTCCTGCACAAAGCTGGAAAGCAGAGCTAAGGAAGAATCAGCAAACTGGCCATCACCAAGCACACCTCCTCCTGAAGCAGCTCTCTTGCTGGAGAGCCCATTCTCACCTCAGCCAGCCAGCAAGGAAGGGATGCACACCTAGAAATGCCTTCACCAGCCTGAAGCTCTGCTGCAGCTCCTTCCTCCCCTCTCTCACAGCGAGGCTTTTTATTTCTTAAACGTATCAAGCACGTCTCACAAACCTCTCATAGCCACTTAAAGCCAGGGGTTAAGTGCAGCTCAAGTGAGGCAGCATTTCTGCTGTTACACTGAAATTGTCTTACATGCTGCTTTTTCTGTTGGTGCCACAGGCATCAGAGGGAAGCAGGAGGGAGCTGGAAGGCAGCAAGTGCAGGTACAGGCACAGGAAACCAACTCCAGGGTGGCTCTGCACAGGTGACTTGGCTGGGGTGCTTTATTCTCCCAAATCCCACAGACAGAGCCTGTTCCCTGGCCGTCCAGAGGCAGGGAATGTGCTCTCCAGGTGCTGGGAGTGCTTTATTCTCCCAAATCCCACAAACAGAGTCTGTTCCCTGGCTGTCCAGAGGCAGGGGACGTGCTCTCCAGGTGCTGGGAGTGCTTTATTCCCTCGTGGAAGGTGAACAGCAAAGCTCCAGCCAGGGCATCGTGCTCAGGGAGGGACCACAGACCTCAAACTCCCAGGGAAGCTTTGCCCTCAGCTGCCCCACACACCAAATTCAGCAGGAACATTTCTCTCCTGACACTGACTCGAGTCTCCTGGGAAAAGAGATTCTTCTGGTCACTGCAAAGAAAGAATAAATGAGCCGCCTGCACACAAGGAATTCAAGCTGGGTTTGCACTCCATTCATTTGCTGCAGGTAAAGTTACAAGATGACACCTGTGACAATCAGCTGTGTGTTTAATTAGTCTAGAAAGCAGCTATCAGAGTAGCAATTGCTCTGTGCTAACCATCCATACATCCCCAGACTGATGCAAAAGACCTCTAAACCTCAGGAAGATTCTAAACAGGCTTAACACCAACATTAACAAGTGGCAGATGACTTGCTGGAGTTGAGAGGTCATCCCTGTGGGAGAACAGCACAATGTGTCCATAAATAAACTAACTCGACAAAACAAGTACAGCTGAGCCCTAAGGAAGCAAAATAAATTAAACAAATTGAAACTTCCAGCTACAGAAGTTATGTCAACTTTCAGAGGTTCCCATGGTTTGCAGCAGAAATTTGTTTCACGTCCTCAATGTTTTTTACCCTGTCTTGGCCTCAAAGCTATCAACTTGGAGAAGGAATTGAACTTGGAAGAGGTATTTTCTGGACAACACACCCCTGCTAGGCTACAGTAATTGATTTTTAATCTTGCTTCTTCCAGATATTGCTGCAACAATCCTCCTGTGCAGGTAAACAAATGGTAAGGGATGGTCATTTCCCAGGATTTGATGGGTATACAGGTAGAAATTCCATATTAAAAAGTATATATTCTTTCAGAGTTAGCTTTGGAGAGAACTCTGTTACCTGAGGCTCTGCTTTCCTCATGGAAAAAGCCCTTTGGGACAGGGAAACCTGGCCATGCACTCTCAGCATGAGATCTGGCACCTGGCAAAGTCCTACTGCCTATTCTTGCAGGGGCATTTGGCTGGAATTCCATGGCTTTTCCTGGAATTCCACAGCTTTCCTGGAATTCCCCCCCACTCCCCAGCACACACACTTTCACTTTGAGCAGAACCAGATTGTGATTTACCTCTGACCCCTTCAGTCCCATCCATTCCCCCTCAGCATCCTCCCATTCCCACCAACCCACCCCAAAGTTTTCACACTTGTTTTTGCAGTGGTTTTGGTATTTCTGCAGGAGCTGCCTTCCCCTTTTTCTCCTGAAAATTTCTGTGGTAAACTTTGACACCCAGTTACCAAACTGTGGCTTTTGAAAGACACACAAGTTCCCTGAAGAAACCAAAATACTGGTTTGGAACAGGGGGCAGGGAATTCCCTGCTGTGGTTTGCTTCTGTTAAAAATATCCAGCTGGGAGTCTGAAGGCTGCACCTGCACAGATGTGAGGGATTAATAATATCTTCCAAACAAGTTTGTGAACAAGGAAAATATAACTGGCTTTTGCAGTACTTCCCTTTTTGAGAGGCCATTTCCTGCAAAGCATCCTTTACTCAAGTTTTCCATCAGCTTTGTAAATGCCAAACAGCCTCTTCCAGCTTCAGCAGTTCATCAGATGATTTATGAAAGGTGCAAAAGCACTACATTGGCAGGAAAGAGAAAAACTGAGCTCCACAAGTGTATCTGCAAATTTGACCTGAACAAAGCAACATATTTTCACTAAAAATTAACAGAAAATCGTTTTTCTGGGTGGAAAATTGAGCTAAATCTTCCATAAAATGGGGAAGTGCTGCTGGGGCTGCAGACAAATCCTGTGCTCAGAAGCAAGGAGTCACTATCAGTAGGAAAGACCTTCCCTGGGATGCACAGATGCCTTGTTCAAAAGGGATAACAGGAACATAACACCAAGAGGAGCACTGCATAAAACCACCAAAGTCATGACAATAAACAAACCCATTTGAAATTGGTTGTTTGTCCCCATTTCTGTGCAACAGCCCAAACCAGGGATTGATTGTCTGCCTTCAGTTCCCAATGTAAGCAAGAAATTTAAGCCCTCCCGTTCTCAGAAATATCAGCAGTACACGATATCCCATTTCTCAGCTAAAGAAACTTTTCTATTGCAGATTTGACGAGCCAGCTGGCCTCATGTCTGGCAAAAATGCAGTTTCTGGATCCACCTCTCCAAAACTGGACACACCTCAGCATCAGGAATCTGTTCCATCCCTCTAAGAGCCATCTGCAATGTATCGGGGCTCTGGCCAAGCAATTAA